ATGGGCACAGCAGAACCAGCAGCAACAGTGGAGAGCAAGAGGACAAGAGAGGTGATCCAGACAGGGAGTCACAGCCCCATAGGGATGTGACATTTAGTCCTCGGAATGCCTGATGACATGCAGGAGGCTGCTGCCCAGATGAGCTTCAGGACATCCTGACTCAAGATGACTTTTTTTTGACATTAGGATTACCTACCTTAATGGTGAATATCAGGATCCTGCCCCGGGCAACCATGTTGAGGAAAAGTACCATGGCTTCATCTTCRTGGGGAGAATAGGTGTCAAACACCCTCTTGGCCATCACATGACCCTGTTGGTATTCACAAATTAGATGGATCTTAAGTACTACATGGTATGGACACACAGAATTATGGTAATCTGTCCTGGAAGCCTCATTCTCTGAGCATCACAGGGAGTGGCCTTTCTGGCATGCCAGGGAGTTAGTCCCAGGCAARCTCATCCCTCAGGCCTTCCTGCATGGAGGTCCATGGGAAGCACCACCCAACCTCACAACTCCTCCCCTGCCCGCTCCCAAGGCCAGCAGGCAGCAGGGACTCTCTGGGTGACCCTGTCATGCTCTGCAAACTGCACACAAAAAGCATTCAGAGACTCCCATCCTGSCTGCTCCCAGCCTCAGGCACCCAACAGCTCCAGAGCAAGGCCAAACTGCCCAGTGAGAAAGACACAGGGATGTTTTACCGTGGCCTGATTTAAGACGATGACATGGATCCCTCTTCCCTGCTCCCGAGCCTCATCTTCCAGGACCTGCAAGTGGGTAAATTATGAGAACCATATGCCAAGACTTCTTATTCCCTGCTCATTCAGTGCAGCAGAGCCCCCAAACAAGAGACAAATCCCTTTCACTTTGCTCGTGGCAGCAATGGGTGCCACAGCAGAGGACAACACAGGACAAAAATTCCAGAGTCCTGGCAGCAGAACTTCTTGCCAGCCACTGGAGTGCTCTCACCACTGCTGGCTTCACCCATTCAGCTCTGTCCATCCTCTGCTCACAGGGACAGCCAGCACCTGTCACTCACCGTTGTCCCATCCACGGCCACGTAGACCTTTGACCGGCTGGAGTACACCTCGACATCCAGAACCTTCTTGTTGTTGACAGGGTGCCTGGGGACCTCCACATTCAGCATCTCGTCATCTGCAGCGGAGAAATGCCCCGTTTCAACCAGTCAAGGCACCTCTAGCTTGTCCATGCTCTGTGCTAGTTCAGCCAAACCTCCAGAAGGGCATGCCCRCCAGGCATCCCAGCCCAAAGAGTCATGGCTCGGAATTTACAGGGATGGTAAGTAATGGCAACAGGTCTGACCTCAGCTGAGCCCACACAGATSCCTGTGCCAAAGCCTTCAGCAGACAGATCAGGAAGAGAACAGCATTTTCCATTAATTTTTGTTAAACCCACATGCACAGAYCTGTCTTTCATGATGTAGCTGGTCACAAGTTAGCCCTGACAAGTTAGCCCTGACCCCTCTTAAAGGAACACAATGCACAACAAGATGCTGCCCTCACCGTAGTCCTGTGCAGACTCCTCTTCCTCTGCATAAGCAGCTCTCCTGGTGTCCAAGATCAGCTTGATGTTCACAATKACAGTCACAAGCAGGAAGAGGACAGCACCTGTCTGCAATGCAGGATGTTTTGTGTTAGAAATTTGCAACTGACAACCCCAAAACCAGTSCACCTTGGCACAAGCTGCAGGGCACCCCAAGGAGATCTTGCAYGGGATCACAAGCATCTGTCATTTCCCCTGATTTTCTCTGAGGAAAGCAAAGAGAAAGAAATACAGGTGACCGAGTTTCATGGTGAAATGCATTCATCAGCTGGAGAGCACTGACTCCTTGATATGTGAGAATTAACCCACTTCCAAGGTATCCCTGCTTCCAGATCTGTGAGCAGATTCCTGCTAAATTATTGCATCAARGTTGAGGGTCCCTGCAGGCAAAGAGTTTGGTAATTCAGAGTTACAGCTCCCAGGGTAACCTTAACTTCTGCTTTGCTGCAGCATCACTGCTCTCATCTGTCCCTCTGGAACCAGAGGATGAACTCAGGGTGTCCAGAGGAGAGGAGATGCTGTGCAGCTGAACCAAACAAARGGAAGAAGCTGAGGTCTGATTTCAGGAAACTGCACAGTACCACAGGCTGCAGAGACCAGCCTGCAGCCTTACTGTCTGCAGCAAACTTCAGTGCAACCCTCGTGGATGCTGACATGGAGGGCTGTGGGAAGGTCCAAGGGCTGTGGAGCAGACCCTTGATTCTCTGAGGTTTGTAATGGGGCTGCCCTTGGTGAGAGGTTTTAAAAGGATTCCTGCCCTGTCTGTCCAGCTGCTGCCTCAAAGCTCTGCGCTGCTGCTATCTCTGCAAGCAGGTTCAAGGAKTAACTGAGGAAAATGGAAAACCAGCAATAAGACAGCACGATGGTATAAATGTCACTATGGCATTTTGGCTTGTTAATTTGCTGTTGACTCAGGAGCATGAGCACCTTTTTGGATCTGTGCGCAGAAAGCTTTTAATTAGGCACGAACAGAGCCGTGGGCTCACAGAGAGGCAGCAAGGCCACCTCACCAACATGCCCAGACCTTCTGCCCTGGTCAGCACTRGGGACATGAGGGAAAAGCCCTGGTGACCAGAGTGAATAAGGCAATAAGGAATAAGAACTAAGCAAGAACAGCAACCAGGTCTARCAAAGCTGGCTGGGTCAAAGCTACTGATGGATGCTTGGCTGCAGTAAACCTGGCTAGTCTATACCTGCAGCTCTGGTCTACCTATTTTAAGCCAAATTGTCTTCTGTGTTTTAAGCCACAGCAGTGCCAAAAAGTCCAAAGATGACAGTGTRCAGGTTCTAGCCCGTTGCCCCAGCATGATGAGCAATGCCTGCCTGGATAGACCCATTCCCAAGCCTTGAACACCCCATCAGACACAGAACTGAGCAGTCTCTGTGCCCAGAGACCTCCCAGACACATACAAAACCTCCTCTGCTCCCTCCCACAGCAACCAAGTGCCAGATCTCACGAGCTCCTCTCAGAAAAGGCCCCTTTTCTGTGTTTTGGTGCCACGGGGCCAAACCTTCCTGTCCTTACAGCCCCAGACACCCCCCAGGATGTCGTCTCCAGCAAGGATTAGCTGTTTCACAGCACAAGCAACCAAGCTTGAGGCTTTCCCAGACGMCAGCTGCCTCTGGAGCACGAGATCCTGTTACCAAGCCCTATTTTCTCTGTCCACCTGTTGTGCCTTATACCAGGCTTGGCTGGCAAATCAAAAAGCTCAAAGCTGAGCCCTGCAGCACTCAGCRTGGGTCCAGAGCCAGGATGGGAGGAATCAGTTGGTTCTAGCTGAAAGCCTCCCAAGGCCACCTGGATAATTGTGTCTCCTCCCAYAGCCACTCAACAGGTCTGCAGGCAGCTGAAAGGAGCTGCTACACAAGAGCTGCTACACACGGCAGACCCTTTCACACACATGGAGGCAGCCTCTTRGGGAACAAGTTATGCTTCTTCAGCATGTCAGGTCACCCAGACTGCCAGCAGACACACATCCACCCATGCAGCTGCTCCATAAACTCGCAAATCCTGTAGATTATCCTTCTTAATCTACTACAYGGCCGCGGGTGACTCACCTGACACAGCTTCCGCAGCGCACGCTGGTTCATCAGCTTGTACTTCCAGGCAAGGTACCAGCTCCGCTTCTTGTGGGGCTTCACAGCGGGGTTGGGCTTCCACTCATCCATAGTCCCGGGGCTGGCACGGGGGCAGCCGTGTGGGGTGGGGTCAGGATGTGTGCTGCTCCACTCTCGTGTCCATCGGGGCTCCCTGCCAGGATGGGATGGGTGCAGGGTGAGGAAGGTGCCTTCAAACCCTCTCCCCAGCTAAGACAGAGCCTGGCACAAGCAGTGGCCATGGACAGTACTGACGGGCCATGAGCAAAAGTCCTTTGAAGCCTCCCTGCCGTTCAGAACTCCTGCTGGGAGCAATGCAGGAGGCCAGGGTTTGCTGCAGGACTATAAAAAGGGTGAGGGAAGCCCCTGAACTCATAGGCCAGTAACGACCTCTGCTCCAGGCCAACCCCTCAGCGAGGCTGCTGCAGTGCCATGGGCCCTCTCCCACACTCTGGGAAAGAAAAGCAGCCCAAAGTCACAAGCAGACAATAGACCCTGGGCCAGTAGGTGTTATGGAATGCCATCGCTGGCCATATGTACCAGAGAGATCCCTGGTGGAGTGACACCCTCCGCACTCACAGCCCCATCCCCACTATGGGGGTGCAGCCAGGCCGGGCACGGGGAGCAGCACCGGGCCATTGTCCCGCTGGAGCTCCCAGCACCCCTGCGCAGAGGAGCTGTGCCAACAGGAGGCCGCGCTCCCTGCGGGGAGCGAACCGCTGGGCCTGGGCGGGATGTGGTGCCACAGCGTGCCCCAGCAAGGCCAGGCACGGCGGGGACACGAGCGCTGAGGGGCCCAGAGGCTCTCGGAGGACGGAGCCGGCGAAGGGCACCCAGGCGCTCCGGGCGGGGCGGGAGAGGCGGGTGTCTGAGGGCAGCAACGAGCGGCGGCGGGGAAAGAGRGACCCGGGCGCTTCGGGACCGCGGAGAATCGGGGGGGTGGCGGAGGGCGCGTGCCGGCCGCGCTACTCACGGGGAGGCTGAGGCGGGGCCGGGAAGGGCTGGGCCGGGCTAGGCTGGGTTGGGCTGGGTCGGGCCAGGCAGGGCCGGTCCCGGCTCGGCGGTGCCGCCG